TGTGAGGTGTCCATTCCCCATTGCTCTGTGTCACCTCCCCATGGCTCCATGCACTGTTCATGAAAACAACCAACCTTTAAATCTCCCCATATAACAACAAGAAATCGACAACACTAAACTCCATCTACAACCTTTACACCACATCTTACACCGAATACATATTTAAATGCCTATGATTGCTGGTTTCAATCTATAAAAAGATCGATTACATGGATATTATTGATATAAAATTATATCCTCAATCCTGATTAGAGTTCTAGTTTCGATACGTTATAAAGAACGTCAAGATGATGAAATGGATGATCACAACGAATGCATATTTAAATTCTATTCAAAACCACCGGATTGTAGACGTGCAATTTGAGATTTCGCTTTACAAAAGAACATACACTTAATTGGTTACCATTGAATATAAAATTATAATCTCAATTTTTACTATACTATTCTTTTTTTGGGAACTGTATATTATTTTGGCTTTGATAAGATAAAAGTAACTCTAGATAGAATTAAAATATCACGTATCATAATTACTTGGTCGCACATTTTTCACGAAAGAACCAATAAAGTTCCAACTTCATTACCCTTTTTTTTTACATATATAGAAGCGGTTGATTTACGTACTAGATGGTTATAATTCATTTTAAATCTAGCACTCATCACATCTCTCATGAATTGTATTAATTCATGCTTGGTTTGCGCTGAAAAAATTAGAATCATTCATAAAGTAAATCAATAACATTTTTTTTTTTGGTTTGACGATGGAACTTTCCCACAATTCTTCAAACCACAGGTATCAAAATCCCAGGCGTGGCTAAGAGGCACCGTGTAAGTAAATAGATGTTTCAGATTAGCTCTGACTTTTTTTAGATGCTAATTGCAAACTAAATTTTATATTTCATTGGATCGATTTTGGAGAGATTAATATGTCATCATCGTTATAGTTCTTTATACTGTGAGGTGTACCATAGATAAATTTTGCTAGTTATTACCTCTTGAAGCATGATTGCTTACATTTGTGCGGTATTTCGATGACGTAATCTTTCCAGAGTTGAGTATCGATTGTTAATTATCTTTTTCTCGTTCTATTTCATAACAGTTGATATTTTTTTCTCGTTCCATTTCATAACAGCTGATCAATTCTCTAAAGTTTAGCACCAAAATTTTTTAGCACCAATTCGAGAACATAAAAGCTTAAATATTTTAAAGAAATTATAGTTTAGACCTTTGGTAATACCATAAACCTACCTACAAAAGCATGAGGTTACAGAAAAATATAGCAACTTCACCAAATAGGAAACTATGAAAATACAAAATGAGACTAAAAGTAATTTAGTAACATTTTCTTTAAGTATGAAAGTGGTTTCAAAAGAGAGAGGGATTCAAAATAGTTGGGGTAAAATTTTGAAAAATCAAAATAGGAAAACTCGGAGGTATTGAGCTCTGACTTCGCGGTTAGAGGGAGGAGAGTGTACCAACAGGCTATATTTCCTAGTTCCTTTATTGTTTGAAGTTTCACTTGACTTTATATATTATAAAGGTAATGGGTTTCACTTAGAGCCTGTTTGGATTTGTAGGGGTGAAAGGAAGTTAAGGGAAACTAGGTGAGAGAATGGAAGGGAAGGGAAGAGAGTTCCCTTCCCCTTGTTTACACCCTAATTTGGGGGGTAACAAATTTTATACTATTAGGGGGTGAACCAAGGGGAACTAGGGTGAATAACTTCACCTCCTAAATATTCCCAAACAAGGTGAATGGAGGGGAATGGTTCCCCTAACTTCCCTTCACCCTTATTCCCCTCAATCCAAACAAGTCCTTAGGGATGTCAAATGGGTGGTTCACTGGTTTTGGTTGGGTCTTGGTTGGGTCATAAATGGATGGGCACATTTATGATCACTTGACCATTTATGACTAAATGGGTCACTTCTTAACCACTCATTTACTAAATGGGTGGTTCATGGGTGACCCAATAACCCATTTAGTTATGATTATGATGCTTCTATATATATGTAAGTTTCAACGGGTTTTCTGTAAACTTTCAGGGGGTTTTCTGTAAACTTCCAGGGGGGTTTCTGTAAACTTCCAGGGGGTTTCTGCAAACTTTTAGGGGGTTTTCTGCAAACTTCTAGGGGGTTTCTGCAAACTTTCAGGGGGTTTTCTGTAAACTTTCAGGGGGGTTTTTTGTAAACTTTCAGGAAGTTTTCTGCAAACTTTCAGGGGTTTTCTGCAAACTTTCAGGGAGTTTCTGTAAACTTTCAGGGGGTTTTCTGTAAACTTTCAGGGGGTTTTCTATAAACTTTCAAGAGGTTTCTGCAAACATTTCTTTCTCAGTTGAATCGACTACTTGGAAAAATCTCTTTTTGTGGGGCTTTGCCAACTGCAGATAAACATTATTAAGTTATCACATATGATTAACTCTTCAGCATTTAGCCTGTGGGTACAGATTTATCACATATGATTAACTCTTCAGCATTTAGCCTGTGGGTACAGATTGGACTATGATTTCATAATGTCATATACTATGAGATTATGCATGCAAGTTCTCAAATTACTACATCAATCCCGTATGTTTGCATATCGACAACATATGGACAATAACTACCAAAATGAATTCTTGTGATCACCTTTTGTATAATTTTATTACACACATCAGTTGCTTATCATTAATAGAATTAGTGGAAGTAAAGTAGAATACACGAAATGTAATTTTAGTGAACCTGTGAAGAAGAATAAGCGTATAGTACAAATGGACGGTCAAGAAATAACTAAGTAATCATTTTTGTTATCTAGGTTCAATCATACGTCGGCATGATGGTGAGATTAAGGATAACGCCACTCATTGAATTAAATCAGGATGGATTAATTAGTGAAAGACTGTAATGTCTAAATACCTCTAAAAAAAACTAATAAATTGATTACTTCTTTTATTCACTACTGGGAGTTGAAAGCAAAGATATAATATTTTACTAAAACATTATATCATATAGTGATTAACCAAAACCTTAACCAAATTCTCGTGCATTCTCCAATATCCACACGTAGCAAAAGTACCTAACCTTAACATTGTGAGCGCCTATTTTTTATATTTATATATCCTTGAGGGTGTTTTTTGTAATTTTTAAAAGTTTAAGGGTGTTAATTGCAAATTCGATATTTATAGGAAACTACCGAAATTTTTTAGATTTCATGTGTTATTTGTAAGTTTAGAAAATTCTAAGATTGTTTTGTAGTTTTGAACTCTTGAGGGTGTTTTTTACAATTTTTAAACTTTGAGGGTGTTTTTTGTAAATTATAAATTTACAGGGGACTACTAGTAATTTTTGGATTTCATGTGTTATTTGTAGGTTTTGAAATTTCAGGATGGTTTTGTAATTCTAAACTATGGAGGGGGTTTTTCTAAAAATTTAAAGCTTTAAGGGTGTTAATTGTTAATTTTAAATTTATAGGGGACTATTAAAATTTTTTAGATTTCATGTGTCATTTGCAAGTTTAGAAAACTCTAAGATTGTTTGATAATTTTGAAGTCTTGAGGGTGTTTTTCTCATTTTCTATAACTTTTAAGGGTATTTTTGCAAATTATAAAATTTCAGGGGGCTGTTGGTAATTTTTGAATTTCATGTGTCATATGTGAGGTTAGAAAATTTTGATAGTTTTTTTTATAATTTTAACTTTTGAGGACGTTTTTATAATATTTTAAACTTTGAGGGTGTTTTTTACAAATCTTAAAATTTTAAGGGGTTGTTAATCATTTTAAGTGTTTTCTATAATTTTTAACTTTTAAAAATAAGTTTTGTAATTGTTAAAGCGTTGAGTGTGTTTTTAAAACAATATCCATCTAAATGGGCAAATGGATGGATAATAACACACTCATTAATGACTCATTTATCTTTAATAGAAACTATACTCACCCATTTATGGCCTATTTAATTAAATAGATGGGTTTGGATGGTTTATTTGGCGGGTGGGTAATTGGTTTTGGGTCCATTTTGTCATCCCTAGTTTCACTGTAGCTATAAAAAGACATTACTATAGACTATAGTGATAAACCCTTTAACTTTAGAGAGAGTGTGTATGTGCGCGTGTGTATATATATATATAACAGTTTATCAACTTGCTGAGACAAAAGATAAAAAATTGGTTAGCTATTTTTGGGAGATTTGCTGAGACAAAAGAGATTGCAACGCTTTGGACTCGTACAAGACAGTACATACATGCCATGAGATTTTTAAAATGATATCATAACAATCTAAATTTAGACATTACCCAATATCACACTGGCTACATATTTAAATTGGACTTAAAACACACAGATCATATATATGTGTAGGTGGGGATTTCAGTCGACAAATGAATACTCGGCTACTGTTGGACATATATGAATATAATCTTTAAGAGCCCATACGTTTATTAGTGGTAGTAGAAAGATAATAATATAAGAAGCATATTACAAATTAGCATTTGCCAACCTGTAATCCCCTACAACATGCTTCTAGCTTCCATATATTGTAAGAAAAATTCCCTAATGACTCAAAATATGGGACAACAATGGGACATGTGAGGTGTCCCCCTTCTATTATATAATGAGTTAATTATCATTAATAATGGTCAGCTCGTTATGCAATAGGATGGGGACATCTATTTTGTCTCATTGTTGGTCTCATATTTTAGATCATTGTAGCAAAGCTCATATTGTAAATGACTTTTAGTTATAAAAAGAGCTTTTTACTACAATGACCCAAAATATGGGACTAATAGGGGAGAAGTGAGGTGTCCCCCTCCTATTGGTCCCATATTTTAGGAATTTTTCTTATAAAAATATCAAGGTATCTGCAATTTAATTCGAGCTCATCAATATCACCAATTTCCGATTTCTTGGGGATTGCTTGCGTCTTTCACGAAGGCACCTAGAAACTTTCAAATTCACAAGATTGCCTTCTCTCTTACTATCAACTGCTTAAACCTTGAAATAAGCCGCAATTTTTTTTCTTCCTTCCGTATAATTTTTTTTCTTTCATCATGGTAATTTCTAACTATCACAGAAACCCTAACCCTAATGGCTACTATCCGAACGCCAGCCCTCAGGATCAACGCGACTTAGTCATCTACATCTACATGATCCTCGTTGCCTTTGTCATTGCCGGCTTCATCACGCTAGTGGTATATGGAAGTTACCATCCTAATTTCCCCGAACTCTCCATCTCAAGATTCCAAGTCTCCGGCTTCAACCTCTCCTCCAACAATTTATCTTGCGATTTCAACGTCTCCGTCGTCATTCGAAATCCTAACAAGAAGTGGGGCGTCCGCTACGACGAGATCCGCACCGCCGTCCTCTACAGCACCGGGGACGTCGGCGAGTCCGTCCTCAACGCGAACGACTTCGTGATCGCTAGCACGTCGATGTTCCCTTTCTCTCAGAGGCCACGGAACGTCACGGATCTCAAGGCGGTGTTGGGGACGGCCGGACTTTTCGCGGATGAGGGTAGGATTCGGTGGGGAGACGGGGACTTGAGGTTCGGAGTTCGGGTTTCTTCGGCTGTGAGGTTCAGGATGGGGGCATGGAAGACACCGACGTACTGGTTGAAGGTTTATTGCGATGATGTTCGGGTCGGGTTGCAGAATTCTACGCGGAGTTGGATCGATGATGGGACCGGCGACGGATTGTCGGACTTTTTATCATAGGAAGAGAACTACGTACGTACGTAAGTAGATGACAATATTGTTCCGCAATTATCTTTGCTTGTTTTGTTTAGGTGTTGCTCTTTGCTCTTGTTTCATGACAATAGTTTTTAGGTCAATGAAATGTCTCTTGTTCATTCACCAATATGAGCGTTATATGCACATCTCAATACGTACTCATTCGGAAAAAAAAAAATTAAAGGGCCAATCTTTTCATCCTCAGATTGAAGCCTTTGCTTTTTTTGATATTGTGAGAGTAATCTCAGTTCTTAGCTGAGCTATCTCTATGTATATAACTTCATATTTTCGTTGATGAATAAAAATTTTTATTTACCAAAAAAAAATTCCGCAATTGTTAGATACTTTGGAATCGAACCACTGCATAATAGAATCCTACACAAACTTAGAATACTGGCAATCAAAAAGCGATGCTTATGGCTTTTTTCACCGCCATGTGAGCACAAATTAAACATATAAAATGGAAGAGAGCAAAGCAACTTGGCATAATCTATTTGTGAGCGAGCAATTTCTTTTGAACGCTAGCCAACGAATAGAACAGGGGTAACACATAATATCCCAAACAGTATCTTTCCGAATTTCGACGGTAGATGAAGGGGAAAGTTTACAATATAATGCAGAGAAATGAATTTTACCCTGAGTAGAACATGAATGATAGAAATGAGATCAGCATCAGGTCCACCGAAAGCCTATGCAGCACAATCCCTTGATTTGAGAAGTTGTTTCCATCACCCAGAATCACCGGTGCTCGCTCTGACATCCCAAATAGAAGAAGTTTTCAGGTAATTTTCACGGATTCATTTGATCCATAAAATATCTTTCATACTACGGATGAACTAAAGTAATCTTATAGCAGTACACCATAGTTGCAGAAACCATGCATCCCCAATCCGCAAAATTTTATTCGACGGCAAACTCTTTTCCAGGAAACTAGAGGGATTTTCTTAGATTCATCAGATTTATACCCCCATCGGGAACCTCTACAAATCTCATCAATTTTCTTCAGGACCTCTTTTTTTTTTTTTTGGAAGAACTCTTCAGAGAGTTTTTTAGGAAAGCGATAGTTGCTTGTCTAATAAATTTGGACACCAAAAATGACACTCTTTATTAACTGCACTCTCCCAATATAAGAGACTCCTTCTTTTCATCCATCCATGAAATTGTTGAGAAAATTTGATAAGAAAAGATTGACAATCCAAATAATTAAGAGAGTCTTTTGCAAATGAGTGACACATCAAAGTACCTTATAAGCAATGTACCATTAGAGCATCTCCAACAGCTTCCACATCTTCTTGAAATACTCAAATTTGAAGAATATAGAGCTTTTTTTTGGTCCAACAGATTCCCCATCCCATTCCCCAAAATAGGGAAGGAGGAGAAAAAATAGGGAGCCTTCCCCAAATCTGCAGCATTCTCCAAATTTTTGGGGAGAGCTTTATTATTGTAATAAATGCAATTTTTTAAAATAGAGAAGCTGTTGGAGTTGGAGCAAAAATAATTTGGAGAATATGACTTTTGTTTCTCCATTTTGGAGAAAATTTTAGGGAAGCTGTTGGAGATGCTCTTAGTAAAACCGAGAGTAGAGAGAATAATGGCCTGATACAAAGCTGAAATCATGGAGGGGTTGTTGAAGCTTGTGTAGAGAAATCACGTCATCTCTACTGGAGAGGAGGTCATCAGTAAACATAAGATGAGTGAGGTTAAATTTGGTAGAAGTGCAATAAATTTTGTTGTTTCTAGAGGACATTAGTATGTTTATGTGTGTTGGTATTGTTTTCATCTATTCGACCAAGCAATAAATAATAAATAAAAGCGGGCATTAGTCAATTAGAACTCTTGAAGTGGAATTTAGATAATTATTAACGTGGAATAATATTATGCAAGTGAAATATTTTCGTAGGATAACGATAGGTATTTCTTTTTGTGATACGATAAATTGATTAAATGACCTGGGATAAATTGAGAGAATCAAAAAGTTATAATTTACATATTTTGATGATGTAATATCTTGTATGTATGTATATGAACTTGGTAGTGACGTGGACTGATCTGGCCCCTATATCACTACTCGAAAATAGAGTCTCAATCACTGTGCACGTACTTCAATGTAGATGTGGGGACCAGATCAGTCCACATCACTACCAAGTTCAATTTAGCAGCTTGGTACCAAGTTTCTCCGATGTATATTATAATTTTTTGCATTGAATATGTATTTTGTTTGAATCGATCGATTTAAAATTGATAGTGAAACACGTGGTTTAGTGTTCTCCCTAACTATATGGTTATATGTATTAAGGATTCCACAGGATTAATCTGTTTCCTTTCATAAGTTAATAATAATATAGTTACTATACAGTTATAAATATGAATTGACCAGTAACTTAATCAACATAGGTTGCAAAGATCTCGTCTTGTATTTGGACCCGGCCTCAATCTGATTAAAACTATACCTCCAGTGTTTTTTTTTTTTTTTTACAATTGTGATTATACATCCCTCAGGATTCATAAATCTGGACTGAGAAAGGAACATAATGTAAGCTATAATTCCAAAATTTTAAACAGTTAAACATACAAACCTTCCAAATTTAGTATGAAAACAAGGCAGACGTTAGCAGGAAACATATGTATCATAGGATTCGGAATCATATTCGGATTCTAGCTTCCCTCTTCCCCTCGCTCCTTAAATATCCCTACTACTACCTGCCGCTCGATCAAACCTCAAAAATATCCCCAAATAATTTTCTTTCTCCGTAATTTCGATCAACTTCTCTCTTGTCCCCGATGAGTTCAACCGTCACCGGCTACCCCGGTTCGGCTGTCGTCACCGGCTACCCCGCTTCTGCCGTCGCCCGGCCTCCCTACTCATCCAAACCCTACTCGCAACTATCCGAACGACGATCGCTGCGTACCCGTCTTCATATACGCCTTTTCGCCGTGATCACCGCCGGCTAATCATCGAACGCGTACGAAGCTTTACACCCCAGCCTCTACTCTCCGTCGCGAGATTCGAAGTCTCCAACTTCAGTCTCTCCACCAGCTCCTTGTCCTCGGATTTTTCAGCGCCGCTTCGTCTCCGTCCGAAACCCTCACAGGAGGTGGAGCGTCGACGACGCCAACGTCCAGGCCGCCTCTCTCTACACACCGCCTCCGTCGACCGAGCGCCGTCCTCGACACGCACGCCTTCGTGATTGCCCACGCATCGGCGTTCCCTTTCTCTCAGAGGGGCAGGGACGTCACGGATCTCAGGGTCAGATTGGGCGCGGTCGGGTTTTACGCCGCCGACGGGGACAGGATTCGGTCCGGCGATGGGGAGGTGAGGTTCTGGGTCAGGGTTTCTTCGACGGTGAGGTTCAAGCTGATGGAGGCTTGGAAGACGGGACCGCACGCTTTGAGGGTCTACTGTGATGATATCCGGGTCCGGTTGAAGAATTCGACGGTGGCCGGAGCTGGGTCCATGGCGGGGCCGGCGAGGGGTTGCCGGGTTTTTTATGATAATTGAGCAAGAAGTATGCGTGCGAGTGATGAGATGACTTTCTATTTTTATTTTTATTTTTATTTTATGGATTATCTTGTTTGCCTTTTTTGTTTAATTAGAAGACAATTGTTACCATTTAAGATGTTGGTATCGAATTTTATAGTTCTTTACTCTTAGAAATTGTCATTATTATGTATGTCTTGTGTGAATCGTGAGGAGTAGAGCAGATTTCTTTATGGGAGCAAGATCTACTCGATCGGTCGGTTCTCTGACCACTCTTCATTTATTTTTGATATTTCGAAATTTTCTTTGCCTACTGTTTGCCTCCGCTTTAATTATTTAAATTGATTTAAGTTTTTTTTGATGTATTTAAATTACCCTTGATTATTTTAATATTTTATTTAAATTTAATTTATTATAATCATAATTATATCATATATTGATCCTATGTGAACTACTTATAGGTCAATAATTTAAAATTTAATAAGCTATAATAAAAAACCCTAAAAAGTTTCAAAAATTGCACAAAACACCCTTAAAAGTATAAAATTACACAAAACATCTATACGTTTCAAAACTTAAAACAACAAACATGAAACCCTCAATATTTTAAAAACTATAAAAACACCCTCAAAAGTTCAAATAATAAAAAAAACACTATGAAATTCTAAAATTTTAAAACTTGCGAACAACAAAGACGAATTCAAGGAATTACTATCAGACACTACAAAACTAAAATTTATAAAAAAAACTACCTCAAAGTTATAATAATTCTGAAAAACACATTCGAAAATTAAAAAACGCACAAAACCCTAAAATTTAATAACTTATAACCAACACATATCAAATCTCAAAATTATCAACAGGCAGCTAAAAATTTAAATTTTCCAACAAACAATCTAAAGTTTCAATAAATGAAAAAAATACCCTCAAAATTCAGAATAGCAAGAAATATTCTGACATTAAAAAACTTACTACCAACATATGAACCATGAAAATTACGATCACTCAACTTAAAATTTAAAAAAACACTCGCAAAGTTTTAAAATTTGCAAAACACACCCTTAAAAATTTAAAATCACGAAAAATGACTAAAATTTCAAAACATAGTAAAAAAAAGAGTAGTTGTTTGATATTCTTTCATTAAGATATGTAAATTTAACTTTTATTTTAATATTTTACTATTTTTTTGACATGTAAAAGTAGTCTAATTTTATCAAAAAAGATAAAGGTGGAGAATGATTGATAACGTCTCAATAAAAAATAAAACAAAAGGAATGAAACACGTGTTTGATTCAAAAGTCGCTGCTGTGGAATTCATTATAACTTTGTTCGATTACAACAAATTCGAAAGAATAATCTTTTTATAAGATTTTTTCTACACAACAAATCAAAAATTACAACTCTTGAGAAACAAACACGAAAATCGTCTATCAATTCTCGTTTTCGTGGGACTTTGCCTGTGCCGGGAACGCTTTGGTTCGTGGACCGCCGATTCACAGATCGTGAAGAGGGGGCTTATGATTCTAACTTCGTTATCGAAGTAGAAATTGAAACGATATCTTATCGAAGTAAGATAGTCGTTCTTCTTAAAATCAAGTCAAAGCTTAATTTCAAGGCGTTGCAAGAAAAGAACCCAAATCTCTGCTCTCTCTGCTCTGGAATGCTCTAACAAATGCTCGATCCTCGTCAGAAGTGACCCTAGGGGGGTATTTATAGCCTCAAGGGTCTGTAACTGCAAAAAACTTAATAATCGAAAAAGTCAGTACGGCGAGACAGTAAATTTGCTGTCTCGCTCAGCGAGACAGTAAATGCTGTCTCGGAAAATGTCTCGCTGGCGAGGCAGCAAAGACTGCCTCGCTGGCGAGGCAGCAAAGACTGTCTCGCTGGCGAGGCAGTTCATACTTGTTTTGATTTTTTTCCAAAACAGTATGAAATCCTTTCTTGTGAATTTTTGAATGATCTTCTCTATGCTTGGGATATCTATTAGCATTTTTTGACGCCTACAACACGTACACTATTTTCTGAATATTTTATAGAATAATTTTTTTTGAGTAAATTAGGATTTTTTTGAAGGGATTTTCATAAACTTTTTAGTACTTTTATATGGTTATGTGGATGTTTTCATTATATAAAAGTATACTAGATTTAGTATCAATCTTTATTTTATAATTTTTTAAAGTTTATCAAGGATTAGGAACAAACTCCATATTATCTGTTATTTTATCCTATTTTTAACTAATCATCTTATCTTATGAGCTTTAATTATTCATTTTCCTTTCAGAACGTTATTTTTGAAGTGTTTTTCACTTGTACAACGCTATATTTTCTTAGATCAAGATTGGTTTCATGTTGGTCTCAATGACATGATAATTCAAATTGATTTCGGATTATATTTATTTCTTGTCAATTCAATTATCAATATAAAAAATTTAAATTGGGTGTAGTTCATTTAAACGAATATTAAAGAAAATAAATAATCACAATGCTAAAGTTTAGAGATATAAATAAGCAAAAACCATAAAAGCGAAATCGAGGAACAAGTTTTAGTAGGGAAATAAACCAAATATATTTAATTATGATATTTGACTACGTGCATTGCACGTGCATAAAACCTAGTGTGTGTGTGTATATATCAAAACTTGTGTCAACTTAAGTGGATAGCAAAAAGTTGTCCACCAAACTTTTTAGTCATTCATATAGCCTAGGGATTCTTGCATGATATGAAAAGGTTTTTTATATTAATAAATTAGTGGTTAGGAAGTTTGGTGGATATCTTGATAGGAGTCTTACTCTCTCTCTATATATAAATATAGAAAGAGAGAGAGAGGATTGCTGCTACCACATCATCAATCATCATCATCATCATGTATAACTATCACCCTAACCCTAACCCTAATAACGACTATCCAAACCCTAGCCCCAATGCCTACTATCCAAATGCCAACTCCAACTACAACGAGCACAACCAAAACCCTAACCCTAACAAAAAATGCAGCTGCATCTTCGTGGCGGTCTTCTGCACACTCATCACTGCCGGGGCTCGCGAGCCCAAGTCCCCCGAATTCTCCGTCTCGAGATTCGAAGTCTCCGACTTCGATCTCTCCTCCAATTCTTTCACCTCCGATTTCAACCTCTCCATCGCCGTTCGAAACCCTAACAAGAAGTCGAGCATCCGCTACGACGAGGTCCACGTCGCCGTCCTCTACAACACCGTAAACATCAAGTCCGTCATTGACACAAACGACGACTTGATCGCCGAGACGTCGGTTGCCCCTTTCAATCAGAGTGCTCGAGTTGTCACGAATCTCGAGGCGAGGTTGGCGGCGGTCGGATTTTACGCCGACGAGGATAGGATTCGATCGAGAGATGGAGATGCGTTGTTCGGAATTAGGGTCGTGTTTAAGGCCGGCGGGGTTCGGAGGACGACGGTTTACTGTCATAATATCCGAGTCGGGTTGAAGACAGCCGGAGTCGGGTCGATGGTGGGGCCAGCGAGGGGTTGTGGCGTTTATTGAGCAAGAATTGCGTGAGTAAGTAGTTGTCTTTGATAATTTTGTTTAGATGATATCTGATATGTTGATGTAGTTCATTGCACTATGAAGAGATTTAGATGTCATATATCATTGTCATCATCTTCTTATATGCTCTTATTTATATAAATATTTATTGGCACGCTTGTATATGTATTGCTCTTCTGGCCATAATGTGTTAGTATGGTATCTATCACCGTTAATCTGGATGGTTGGAAGGTTTTAATATAGCTCCCAAAATCTAGATTTGATTCCAGGCTGAATGATAAAAAAAATATGCGAGGCATGGTTCTTACTTCCTGTTGTAGCTATGTGAGGAGGTTCAATTAAAAAGAAGAAAACCTTTAGGTCAACAAAGTTTTAAATATTTTGAATGGAAAAGTTAGAATAGTTTTCAGATGCATTAATCTTTTTAACTTTTCGTAATTTTGTTACATTTTAGGAGAGGAAAAAAAACTTGAAATGTTGATGTGTCATCATAATTTTTTAATTAAATTAAAATCCCTCAAAAAGAAGATAAATTTTCTGAAAAGTGACAAATACATCAGAAAGACAAAGGAATCAAACCTAGTCAAACATGAGGAAAAATCTAAACTGGAAAAGTGACATGAATATTTTCTTCTATGTTGTTTCATAAATCCTCAATTTTCACAAAAACCAGCAACACGAAACTCTATTCCTCAAATACATTCTGGAGAGTTTCACCCGTTCCTGTGGGCCAGCCAAAGAACGTCAGAGCCCAGTTATAAAAGGGCAGGATATGTCCATGGATCTAGGCCCAACTACATAGCCGTGATCTATGTTCAAGGGCCAGCCAGTTTTAATATCTCAAATCCAGACCTATACGAGAGCGAAAACAGAAGATTAAAAGTAGTTATTCTAATATATAAAAAAAAAATCTTATGTTATTACAACTTCGTAATTCTGGTTCAGTAGTTATACATTTCGATCTACAGAGATAAAACGCAATGCTTAAAAACATGTCAGAGCACAAGATTATTATTCTCGCATAAAGTTTGAAGAACAGAACAAATTCAGAAAGGATAAAGCTTTAGGCCCGCTTTTGAAAATGGGCCTCCAGATGCCCACCGACCTTATGAAGGAATAAATGATAAGAGTTAATATGGGTGGGGGTATATGGAGAAATCTACCTAGAGTAAGCGGTTTTCGGGTTTAAACCCGCCATGAACCCGATGGGTGCCTTTGGAAATGGTTGAGTTAACATGAGTTGGGGGTCCCATATTTTGGGTCCTTAAAGATTTTTTCCATAGAGAAATCTACCCACTCTCATTACATTTAATCCTCATTATTAAACTCACCTATCAAGAAGGGTGAATTGGCAACAAAATTGAAAATTTAAGGGACTAATAAGTAAATAATAAGGTCCCAGGGACTGACGCCTCACCTGTCCCCTCAAGATCCCCTATTTGAAGTCCCCGTAGCTCTACTCGTTTTGAGGAGACTACTATTTTAACCGTGGCCGTACAGCTGGACTTCCATTTTGAAAAGTTGGCAGTATTTTCCGTTAACTTTAAAACTCGATCTCATCGAAGCAAGCACCTCGAAATTTCCGAAGGCGCAAGATCAACCCCTCTCTCACCTCGTTAAAACCTTGCAAAAATCCCCAAATATATTTTTTAACCGTATTTTCACTTTCCTCTCTTCCATCGCCGATGAGTTTCGACACGATCGCCGCGATCCGAAGCCCCTCTTCGGTCACCGGCTACCCGCCGCGTACACCCCGCCCCAGCGGCGCCGGCGGCCGGCGCCGCCTACCCCTACCCCGCTCCGCCGCCCAACGCCCCTTACTACCCCCAAACCCTAACCTAACCTAACCCTAACGTTACTACCAAACCCTAACCCTAACTACAACGGTCACTACCAAAACCCTAACCCTACTACAGCCGCAACTCCTTCCTCCGCGTCCTCTTGCCGTCGTCGCCGCCGCCGCTTCACCATCGTCGGCGCCATCACCTTCATCGTCTGGCTCGTCTCCGCCTCGTTCCCCGAATTCGCCGTCTCGAGCTTCGAGTCTCCAAGTTCAGCCTCATCTCCAATTCTCTGACCTCCGATTTCAGCGTCGGCCTCACCGCCGAAAAACAAACACGAACGATGAGCATCGATACGATCAGGTCGGCGCCGCCGTCTTTAGCGCGCGAGGACGTGATGCGCGAGACATCGCTTTCCCTCTTTCTATCAGAGCAACCGGCACTCAGGACCTAAGTGAATTTGCGCGGTCGGGGTTTACACCGATGACGATATCGTGAGCGCGATTCGATCGGAGCAGAGCAAGGGGGGTGGAGCGGTGACGTTCGGAGTCCGGTTCATTTCGGTTGTGAAGTTCAAGGCCGGGGCTTGGAGGACGAGGAGGCACTATTTGAGGGTTTATTGCGACGATATTCGAGTCGGGTTGAAGAATCTCACGGCTGGGGCTGGGGGGGGGGGGGG